AGACCTGCCATACTTGAAGAAAGCAAGGTTCCTTGGTGAACAAGTGGGTGACAAATTCATCTACAACTTCTTCCAAGCAGATGGATCTGCTGCAGGGCTTCTACTCCATAATGTGCATCTCACATCCTTCTTCAACCCCAACAGCTTTGCCTTCTAAATTCCACAGCACCTTCTCCACCAAGCTGGCGCTTCATCATCTCACACTTACCAAGGCACTAACATTACCCTTCCTCAAGGAGACTATCCCCTTGTGATCTTTGCAGGAGGGCAAATGGAAGAAGAAATTCAGGAAGAAGAAAACTCAGATGCTCCAAGCTACAACAGTGAGGAGTACCACTTCCAGCCCCATGATGTCTCACACCAAGGAGGACCTCTGAAGAAAGTCCATGAGCACATCAACCTCTTGCAAAGATGGAACAAATGGCAAGACAAAACCATGAAGAAGTTGGTAAAGGGCATGAAGACCATGAAAGCTCAAATCAAGGACTTAAAGAGGAAGTCCAGCAGCGCCTCTACTTCTGCTCCTCAAGAAGAGCAACAAGCTGAAAGCCAAGGAGTGGCTAGAGCTCCTAGTAGAAGGCGCTCCTTTGCTGGTTATGAAGAAGTGAGAGCTTGGGTGCCACCAAGGGCATCTTGTCAAGAAACACCAAGGAGAAGGAGACACCCACGGAGAGAGAGGCCAATGAGGAGCCACAACATTGACCTGGAGCTTCAGGCGCCTCATACACCTCCCACACAGCCTTCTAAGGTACCACAAACTCCTCTATTGTATATACCATTGCATTTAGTCCTTGTAATATACTTTTTTTGCTTCTCTCTTCTACTCTTTTATTACACAAGGGATTGTGTAATTTAAGTGTGGGGGAGGGATATGGGGTTGATTTTTTTTTTTTTTTCTTAGTTTTTCATTTTCATCCATCTTTGAGTCTCATGCATTCATCTAAGTGCATTAAAAAACCAAAAAAATCGAAAAACCTGAAAATTTTGCATCTTTTGCAAACCAAAAAGAAAAGCATGTAGTTGTATTCATTTGTTTAGGATTGAGTCTAGTATTTTTCATATAGGTTGCATTGCATTTGCATAGGGCATGATGATGATAGTTCCTTGTAAAATGCTAAGTGTTTAGAACTGATTTAAATGCCTAAATGGTTAAATGTCTAATGCATCATAAGAATTTAGAAACTAAGGCTGAACCATGCTCTTGAATGCTAAATCTGATCCTCTAGTCTCATGTTAAAATCGCTTGCTTTCTGAAAATCATCCCTATTTATTAGAACCATTAATTTGAATTGTTAATTATCATGTTCTTGCATTGAAAAGTGGTTTACCCATATACATATTTGGACTTTCTTTCTTCCTTTTTACCTCTCTTGCTAGTCCAAATAGTTGATCCTCATCATTAGGGGACAGTTACCACACCTTAATCTTACATTCCTTTCAAACCCAAACACTATCTTTGTGTGTGTGAGACTTATTTTTGAATGAACTAAGCATAAAGTGCTGGGTAGGCACGACAAGGATAAGTTGCTATGTAGAGCTAACTCTTCACTTTGAGCTAGACATAGTTTAGGATGGTAATTATAGGTCTGGGTGGATTTAAGTGTTACATTGATCTAAAGGGAGAGTGAGAGAAGAAAAAAAGTGAAAAGGGGAAAGGAATGAAGATGGGAAAGCAAACAAAAGCTCAGCATGTGTGGAACCAAATAAGCTCAAAAAGGGTGGCCATTATGAAGATAGAGTCTCAGCAACAACAAAGAAGGCATCAAAGCCTAAATACATCAAAAGGATGAAGAAATGGAGATTCCCAAAAACCAACAAAAGGCGCCCACAACAAAGGAGCACAAAGAAAGCCACAACATGATGAGATCAAAAAGAAGCTTCCCTGAAAATGGTAAAGTGTGGAGAGTGTGAGAGTGTTGAGAAAGGATAGTTAGGATTGGGTCTGATTTGGGATAAGAGTTTTGGGGTTTAGTACATTCTTAGGCATTGGGTAGATAGTAATTTATCCTTGTATGCATAAGTTGTGCTTAACCTTTAGCATTATGCCCAAGTTCATTTATTTTTGAGAGAAACCCTTACACTTGAACACACATTTTTAATGAGATCATTTTTGTCTCATAACCTTAACCCTTAGCCAAATGATTCCACTTGATTTGCTTGAACATGATTCACTTGGTTACAAAGTTTAAATGAATGTTAAAGGGATTGATTGATTTGAGCATTTGACTAGGCTGAGCTAGGTTCTTATTAGTATGACTGATTGTGATTTGCATCTTACATTTAAGCACTTAGACACTGACTTCACTTCTTTACCTTAGCATTTTTGGATTTGAGTGCCCACTTTCAAACCTCACTTCCTCCTTGTCTTAGTTTGTTTACTTGAGGACAAGCAAAAGGCAAGTGTGGGGGTGTTGATATCTCCATTATTTATACCATTTTAGTTTACATTCATCACTAGTTTTAGTCCTTAAACATGCATATTTTGCTTCTTCTTGTCCCACTTGCATACATTTAGGAGTTAGTGTAGTTTTAGGAGCTGCATTGCATTTTGCATGCATTTGGAGTTTTATTAAGGTACTTAAAGGAGTGTGGAGGTCATATGGTGCAATGGGTGTGAGCTAGGAATGGAGCACAGCAAAGGACAAAGGCGGATAGACCAATATCGACATGGACATCGACATCATCTGATTGATACGGAGCATATCAATGGGAGTATCGGCCACTTCAGCATCGATACAGTGAAGGCGTGGTGTGAAGGAAGCATATCGACTTAGACACTTCGATGCAGTAGAATGGAGTCCATATCGAGCAGTATATCGACATTTCAAAACGATACACATGACAGGGCAATACCGAGGTGCCATATCGACTTGTTTGATCGATGAGCCTTAGCTAAAGGGTGATTGTATTAACTTCACACCATGAAAAGCCAAACCTATACAACTTGGAAGCCTTCTATATCGACGTGCATATCGACCAAGAGACATCGATACAACCCAGAAGAAGAGGTGATGTCGACATGTGTATCGATGTTCACAGCCGATATGGTTTGTCCGAGTCAGCTTATTTTCGGTTTAACCTTGGTTTACTAGGGGTTTTCTAGTTTCCCTATAAATACTAAAGTCCTAAAATGGTTAGGCAACTTGGATCTTAATATTTTTCTTCTGTGGTTTTGATTATGGCTAGTGAGTAGTCTTATTTAGGGTTTGAGATGGGATATATTAGAGGGGTTTTAGGACTAGATTAGTGGTGTCTTGCGCTTAATATGATTGTCTTCTCTCTATTAGATTTGCTTAACACTAGATTAGTCTTGGTCAGACTTGTTTAGAATCTTGGCTTTCTCTTGCGCCTGGTAAGTGTTTGATGAAATGCTGCTTAGAGTCTCTTAGAGGATTTGTATGCTTAGCCTAAAGAATTAGTTGTCTAAGGTGCATTTTGGCTTTATAGGATTGGAGTTCTGTTCTGAATGCTTGATGATCATGTGTTTGAGTAAAATGATTTATCTTGAATGTGTGCTTAGCAAAGTGATTAGTGTTAATCATATAGTTGAGCTAGTTATAGTTGTTAATCATATACCTAGAAGATAGCATTGTTTGAATGGTTTTGAAGATTCACTAGTTAGGTTCTAATCCCCTCTTAATCAATAACCTCCATCTTAGATTCTTACTTCATCTGTTTGAATTTCCTGCTTTACTTAGTTCAGCCTTTAGACTTGTTTAGTTTGATCACAACTGCTTTCTTGAATCTAGCTTGACTTAAATGATTTGCTATATTTTTGGTGCTTTAAGAACTCAAATTGATTGATACCTTACATGCTGCAATGACATGAGTGTGTTAGAATTTGATTAGCTAGTCTTTTCCTGCTATCAATGAGATAGATGCGGTACAAAACACAAATTCACCAATTGTAGAAGAGGTTAATCAGAAACATGTTGAAGAAAATGCAGGGACATATCCAAACTGGATTAATATTTCAAGCATAGAAGTTATACAGAAAGAAGGGAATTGCTCTCCACCAGAAGTGCATCAGCAAGAATTGAATCATGGAACTGTTTAAGAGGCAGAGGTTGGTGGAAATAAAGTGATACAGTCGACAGAATCACCAATAGTGGATGACATATATAGAAAATCTGGTGATCATGTATCCTTCGTGACGCAGACATGTTCCCTTAAAAGTCTAGTTTCATCTTCTGAGAGCAAATCAACGATTTTTGTGGGGATTAATGTGATCACAATTGCCATATCTCAGAGCGTGAGAGATACATCGAAGCCTCAGTATGTAAGCCAACTATTAGATCACAAGCATAACAGAGAAACAATTAAGAGGAAGCAAAGGAAATGCCTTAAAGCTTGGAAATTCAAATTTCAATATGAGACTATGGAGAGAATCATGCCACTAAGGGAACTACATCAAGCCTGTGCCAGTGAGGACAACAAGTGCATCTGTTCTTTTGATAGTACTCAGGTCAAAGTTAATCATTGGAGAAGGATGAGGCAGCATCATATGTCAAGTTTGTTGTACAGAATAAGGATGAGACGAATGTTACTTGAAGCATCTTTTATGTGATGATATGAAGTTTCAAAGGAGGCACAAGAGTAGATTTAAGCAACTTGGTGCCGTTTTCCATCTCGAGAAATATTACTCTCCACCAACCCTTATCAAGCTTATTCAAGAAAAAAATGAGGAGAATGGCAGATACGACACAACAGCAAATCAGAATCTTCGATTGTGGAAATCTTGGTCAAGATAGTGAGGTTCGACTTGATCAAGAAAATCATAATTTGTAATGCAAAAGTAGGACTTAACAGAAGATTCTCAGCGGTGTGAGTCATTGATTTGGAGTTATGTGTTTGATATGATCATATGTTATCAAGATCACTCTTTGTACTTCTCTCGATTCGTTCTATACAAATCAATACATTTCACAGAGTTTATCGATCTAAACTCTAACAAACTTCCATTTAATCTAAACCTGATTCGTGACAAGCAAAGGACAAAATGAATTCTCAAATGAAATTGAAAGCACAAATGAGAAAGTACACAAGTACTTAATCATTCAACATTTATCTTCGAAACGATAAACTTTAGATAGAAAGTAGCATGACTAGGTGCCTGTCTTGGAATATATTCACACACTTATATCTAATAAAGCAGTGCCACAATTTATACAAGAGACTAATGTTCTAACAGCCTTAAGCAACTAAAAACCGAAACCGTTTTGACGAATCTCCTCTTAAAAAACAACGCTTATAAGACCAAACAATTTCTTCATACACTGTTCTGAGAAATAACTTGTCCAAACCGAAGAAAGAGCTCTGCATCTGAAGCACTCATCGAAGAGCAATTGACATTGTGTGGAGTTTTGAGATTCGCATACTCATCGACATAGCACGAAGAAGTCAGCGTTGTTGACGTGGCTGCTGCTGCGGCTGGTGGCTGTTCCGACAACATGAAACTGCCAAGGACACGTGTCACCTGGTGCATTGTGGGTCGATCACTCGGCTGTCTTTTGGTGCAGAGGAGTGCAAGCTGGAATACCTTCTTCACCACCGCGAGATCCTTACACGTTGATGTAATATCTCGATCTGCCATTTCCATCACTGCATTGTTCCCTGTCTTCGACATGATCTGAATCATAAAACACACGATGGGAAATTTTGTTTAGTAAGTAACTTTTCTATTTGCTAATAAAATTATAATATTTTTATAAACTTGAGAATGAAGTGACAATGTGACATTCAACATGAAATAGTGTCACAAACTATGTTCGTTTCTCTCAAGAATGTATGTTATACCCGTAACAAAAATACATTTTTAGCCTCGCAGACACAGATTAGCAGCTATATATCATTATTCATTAGTATAATTTGTAGATGGTATGCTAATATTTTATACTAGATAAAATTTGTTTCTTATTAATTTATACAGTATATGTTATATGTTATTTCTGTTGATTTATGTTTTTTCAGTTTTTATAATAGATAAAATTTGTTTCTTATTAATTTATACAGTATATACAATACATTCTTTTAAACGAGGATAAAAAGAGGTCGACATCGAAACTTTCTTTCCAGTTCAAGCTACCACATTAAAAAGGGAGAATTGGCAAAATATCTTATTTAAGTTTTTAAATTTGAAAAGTACACTGTTATTTAAAATTTTTAAAATAACACTTATTTATGTTATATAAAAATAAATAAGTTTTTCTTTATCTGACTTAAAAGAGATATTACATATTTTAATAAATTAAAATAAAAATTCGAAATTCTTAATATTAATTTATTTGAAAAAATTAAATTCGAAATTATTAATTATAATATTAATTTATTTTAGACAATCAAAATTTTTAATTATCACTTTAAATATTTAAAAATTCATTTCTAACAAAATAATAGTTTATTAGTGTATTATTTAGATATTTTTTAACTAAAACTATTTTGGTCTATCATAAAGTTTCTAGGAGTTAGATCTAAATATAATTTAGTAAAAGACCAAATCAAATGATATATGAACTGCAATGATGATTCAAATTTCAAAATTATGTGTCTTTCATTCTTATATTTATTTTTATATATTTATTTATATGTTAATTAAATATCAAAGGTATTACCAATTTTTAATTAGATTAATTTAAACATTTCATTAACAAATTAAGTATAGTTTTTAAAAAATGAACAATGGTGTAGCTTTCAATATACAATTTCTTTTTAAAGTATTTCCAAATTTTCTCTACTAAAAACTCATTGTAAATTTAGTATAGCGCAAGAGTAGACTTACTTATTCAATGTTTATTTACAGCTAACCTCTGATTTATTAAGAATATTTGTTAACTTTTAAGTTTTCAGTCTTATAAAACATGGGTTAGTTTTCAAAATACATTTAAAAGTTGAAATTTTTTTACGAATTCCCTCTTTCTTAAAAGTATATCATATCTGTGTTTTGTAAATATTTTGACAACAAGGTTTTGACCTAGGTTGCATGGAAACTCCGTCTGAGGTACGTTTCTCGTTTCCGAAACGTTTCGGAAACACGAAAAATCACGATTCCTAAAAATTCTAATTTGGAAACACTTTGGAAACACGTTTCTATTTTAGAAACACGTGTTTTCATTTTGGAAAGAAGATAAAAACTAATTTCTTGTTTTTATAAAACAAATAAATAATTATAAAAATTAAATTAAATAATCAATTTACTTATTTATAGTAAATAATAAATATTTTGATTTGGTAATTAAGATTAATTTTGAGATTAGTAAGTTTGAAAATTATTCTCTGGATAAATTAGAATTAGAGATAGATTGGTTAATGAAACTAATAAAATTGATAATAAAAAAAATCTTTTAAATTTTTGACTTTACATATTTTAAATTTTATAGTTTAATAATTATGTAAAAATTATATATTAGATTTTGTTGATTAAATATTCTACTTATAATTAGATCTTTAATACTTAATATATATATACATATATACGTTTCCAAAACATTTCCATTTCTATATTTTTTTAAAATAGCATTTCAATGTTTCGAAACGTTCTGCTTCCACATACCCGTTTCCGTGCAACATAGGTTTTGACATAATTTTAAACAAAACCGAACAGAGAAAACCAATTGACCTTTCCTTACCCAGAAAAAAAGTTGAAAGAAAGGAAAGAAGAGACAAACCAGGTGGTGGAGATTGGCCTCATCATCAACAGCTTTCCTTCTGGTTAACAGCTCGAGCAGCACTATTCCATAACTATAGACGTCTGATTTCTCGGTGAGACGTGAAGTACGTGCATATTCTGGATCTATGTAACCAATCGTGCCCATGATGTAAGTTGAAGTATGTGTCTTTGACACGCAAAGGCTTTTAGCAATTCCAAAATCTGTCAAACGAGCCTCTAAGTCCTTGTCCAAAAGAATATTTGAAGACTTCACGTCTCTGTGTATGATCCTTGGACTACAGTCATGGTGTAGATACGCTAGTCCTTGTGCCGCGCCATATGCTATTTTAAGCCGTGTGTCCCAATCAAGAGTTTTCTTCTTTGTAGGGCCTTTGTAAAACACATACACACAAGCATGATGTTAATATATAGTCAAAAATCAACGACACACACAAGCAAGATGTTGATGAGTCAAGATTCAAATGAGTTTCTATTTTGGGTGAAGACTTACCATGAAGAAGATCCCAGAGGCTGCCATTTTCCATGTAGTCATAGAACAGAAGACTACCCAAGGGAGAAAGGGAATAGCCTTGTAGGCTCACAAGATTTCTATGTTTGATGCTACTAAGCATCTCGAGCTCGGTCTGAAACTGTTTCATCGACTGTGGGTTGTGAGAGTAAAGTCGCTTAATCGCAACAGGTTTGCAGTTCTTCAAGACACATTTGTATACAGTGCTTGATGCTCCATGCCCAATGATGTACTTCTCGCTTAGATTCTCTGTCATTCTCATGATATCTTCGTAAACATGGAGCGCCATGTTCATATGAAGGATGACTAGCTTCGGGGTCGAATAGGTTACTGATGTGGCCAAGAAATTTCAAGATCAGCTATTTGATTACAATAAATTAGATGAACATTTTAACAAAGTGATTTGGCATGTAAACCTGGCTTGTCAAGTGATCCATCAAGAAACGGAGGAGGATTATGCGGTCGACAAGCTGCTATTAGTACCATAAGAAGGATCACAAGCCCTCCAATAGCAATCCCAAGAATAGCTGCTTTAGAGATTGACACTGAGCAAACAAAAGAAGGTTCATTGAGATTCAGATTTCTCGCTTATGGAAGTTTCAAGAAGAGAGATAGTCACCTCGTACAGGTTGACGAGAAACATGACAGGGCGAGCTTAGCCAACTACCGCAAAGACTAGGATTGCCAATGAAGCTGTAGAAGAAACAAAGAAGATATAAGCATGGAGCTATGGTTAAATATAGCCAATAAAAAAACCGTAAATTCATTTGCCTGTCTGGCGAAAATCTTGAGAAGTTATTGCTCTTAGGAATATCGCCAGCTAGGTTGTTGTAAGATACATTCCTATAGGAGTTAGACAAGATTTCAGGGTTAAGTTCTTAGCACAAGTTTTATACAGAGACACAAAAAAATGTTTCAGAACCAATGGTGTTTACTCACAATACGGTAAGACTGAGGCAGTTGGCTAATGAACCAACATTACCAGTCAAGTTATTATGTTCCAGTCTCCTGCAGTATGATGAAACACAACATTAAGATATATCACCAAACCAATAACTGTTCAGAGTTGTAAAACTCAGAAAAAGTCTGTTCTGTGATAAAGCAGAACAGATTTCGCCAACACTGAAACAATTTCTCAACAACTTGAATGTGGTTAAAGGAAGATAGCTTACAGCAAAAACATGTTCTGCAGTTGGTTAAGCTCTTCCGGAATTGGACCTGAAATTTCATTATTTGAAAGATCTCTGGAAAAAAAGAGACAAAGATCACAGAATTCAGAACAGTAGCGAAAATAGGGAAGAACTCTAACAAAGCAAATAGAAGATACTTCTTACATCTCCATGATGCTTCTCAGATTTCCAAAGTCAGCAGGAACTACACCGCTTATATGATTTCTGCTCAAGTTCCTATAACAAGAGAGACGCATTTCACTAACCATTTTAATATTTTAATCAAACAAAGAAAAGAAAGTGTAGATTTTATGGATGCTTACATCTTGAGAAGATGTTCTAAATCACCGAGGGAAGAAGGAATGATGCCATTTATCTTGTTGTTGGAAAGATCCCTTTAAATGTCACATAGAAGAATAAATAAACGTAGGACAAGGCGTATATGAAGAAAACTATACTTCACAGAAAACATAATAAAAACGCTTACAATGTATCTAAGTTACCGATGCGAGATAGCTCAACTGGGATTGGACCTCTAATGTTATTGTTGGAGAGATTTCTGGTCAACCAGATAAATTAAAGACAATCAAAACTAGGTAGTTAATGGAACTATATCATATATATGATATCAGAATGATTACATAGCACCACTTTATTTGATTCTAAGCGTCAATACTTACAAGTAAGTCATGCTTTCAAGCTTTTGAAACGCTCGGGGTATGGTTCCACTGAACTTGTTCCCATGAACATTTCTGCATTTACATTAATGAGATACATAATCATATGAGAAGCACCAGTCTTGAACATTCTAGAGTGAAGTTTTCAAAGAAAGCAACGTACAAGCTGTTTAGGTTTGTACAGGAACTCAGATTATCAGGTATAGGTCCTTGCAGATCATTGTTAGCCACATTCCTATATGAAAATTTATCACATCAATATTCAAACATCAAAAACATGTCAAGCATAAGGAGTAGTTACTTACAGATCAAACAAGTCAGTAAGCTTCCCAAGCTCTGGTGGTATGTGACCTGTAAGAAGATTATCGTTGAGCTCCCTGCAAAATATTGTACAAATTGTTGATGATGAAACAAAATTTAATAGAAATGGTATGGCTAAAGAGAAGTGAGGGAAAGGTTGCTCTTACAAGTAATGGAGTTTTGACATGTTTCCAAGCTCAGGTGGAATTGAACCAGTCAGCTTGTTACTGTGCAAGTAACTGGAGATAAAACCAAAATGATAAACAAAAATTAATCTCTATCTAATGAGTAATTAGACTTCCATATATAAGTATAAATAACAATGCAATGTAACTTCCGTCTAAATAATGAAGAGACTGTGAAGGTAAAGAGTTACAGTTTCTCTGTGAAAGTCAGGTTTCCCAGAATCGGAGGGATAGGTCCACTCAACAAGTTGCCACTTAGATCTCTGTATTCAAAAAAACAAAAAAAAAAATGAAACCTTCAATCTCATATAAAATGTTTAACATTAGTTTTGTTGATTAAAAAAAAAGTACTTACAACACTGCAAGGGCTTGCATGAGACCAATCACTGATGGAATCTTCCCGGAGAGCTGATTCCCTTGCAATGATCTAAGATGATAAAAATAATATTCTTTCAAGATAAAATATAAGGCTATCAAAAAAATTGATGCAAAACATTTGCAGAGAAGGAAGACTAACAATGTGGCGACTTGGAGGAAACCGATGTCGAAGGGGATCTCACCAGTGAGCTGATTGTATGACAAGTCCCTGCTTCCATCATAAGCAAATCAGTTATGGAGATTTTCTCAAGTAACCAAAACTGTGGTAAGGATGTATAGAGGCGAGAGAGAGGCACATACAGAACCTGGAAGGCAGTGCAATTTCCTATAGTCTCAGGGATACTACCCGTCAAACTGTTGTTCCTCACATCGCTGATTGAATACAGAAAATCATAAGTCAGAGATTTTTATTTGGAAAGTGAACTCGTCAGAGTACTATTCAGATGGGCAAGAAGAGATTGATTGATTGACTTACAAATACCAAAGACCAGTAAGCTGACACAAATCCGGAGAAATGTTACCAACCAAGTTGTTTCCGCGTAATCCGCTGCTCATCAGATTACATACAACAATTATCACCAGGCATGAAGATACGTTTGAAAGGGTTTCAAAGACATGGAACACTTACAGATACTGAAGAACTTCATTCCAGTAAATAAGTCTTGGTATCTCACCACTGAGTTTATTCTGTGCCAGATCCCTAGAATTTGTCACAGAAAACTGAAACATCAGGTCTCTGATGATTTATATAGCTAAGAAAAGCAGAGATGTATAAAGTATATCAGAGCAACATACAGAATCTTCAGGTTTGGAATCTGAGAAAGCGTTGATGGGATTGGTCCTATCAATTGATTATTCTTCAGAATCCTGGAAAAAAGTAAAATTTATATCCCACAATGTGAGGATATGTCATATATACTTACATATAAAAACTGACTACAGGATAACTAGAAAGAAACTTACAGCTGCTCAAGTTGCTTCAACTTCGAAATTGAAAACGGTATATCGCCACTTAGTTCATTAAAAGACAAGTCCCTGAATAAACAACATGAACACACTTCAATCACTAAACTCCTTAAGAGATCGTTAACACTTATTAAATAGTTTTTGGTTAATTTAAGGGTTCTTACAAGTTTTGCAAAGACGAACAGTCGCCAATCTCATCAGGGATTTGTCCAGACAAACGATTACCTCGTAGATCACTGATTGAGAAAAATCCAAATGATAACAATAATCAGCACTAAGTCTAAACAAAAAGGTAGAAACTTTCTCTTATGCTACAGTGATTTTTTTGAAATAGTTACATGGAAAAGAGGCTCTTGAGATCTCCAATAGCAGCTGAGATTTCTCCATCAAGATTCAAATCTGACAAATTGCTACAAAACATAGAAGAGACACAAAACAAATTAGAACTTTTCCACAAGAAAAACAAACCTAACAAACACCAAAAAGAAGGATGAAACTTACAGAGCAACAACATTGAAGGTGACATTATCACAAGTCACACCTCTCCAGACACAATAGTCCGAAGAAGGTGAACCTGTCCAGTCATAGAGAAAATTGTTCACATCTTTGAATGACTTCTTAATCTCTAGCAACGTTGCTCCTTTTTTTTAGATATTTTATTAACACACGCACATAAACAAAAAACAAAACAAAAGAACATTTGTCAGTTCTTGATTAAATTAAAAATTACTTAAAAACTTCAACTTCCAAGAAAATTAAAAACTCGAACCCTAATTATTCATCTTCTTTAGTTAATAGAGAAGACCCAAAAAGTCGAAAAAGAAAATGGCAAGTACCCAGATCTCATTTTCACCACAAAACCCCTTGGAACCCTTCAAAATCAAATAAAAATTCTCTTTTTTGGTTTCTCTCCCTTCAAAAGACAATATTTTCAGAATTTGAACTTGAAGAAGCATGCACTTACCATTGTCCGAATTTACAGGAGTCCCAAAGCTTAAACACATGAGAAAACCCAGAAGGAGTACTCTAAGCAGAGCCATTTCCACATGCGTAGAAGCCGAAACGACTGCGTTTTTTGACCCAATATACTAAAAAAAAGGCTTTAACTATCCATGAAGAAGAAGAAGCAGAGGATAGAGAAGAGAACCGTATGAGCCGACATTAGATTTTTTATGATTCAGAGAATGAGACTGCCCAAATTGTTGTTCTCTTTTACATATAAAAAAATTTAATTTTAGTTTTTTACTTTTACCAAGAGGAAAAAGTCTTGATTTTTATCGTTCCATCACATCCTTCTGGCGTTGTTTACAGTGTTTCATTGAGTGCTTAGACGACAGAAACACAGACTGAGATAGAGATGGAGAGAGAGAAAGAGAGGAGAGAGTGAGAGACACATAAATGTGTGTTAAAGAGAGAAAATGTACAACTGTAGGGACTGTGTGGGAGAGACGAAGAGGAATTATTTGGAGGATAAAGTTAAAAACCCCATCATCTTTCTTTCTGCCAGAGTTCTGAAGCTTTGCAGAGGAGAGAGATAGAGGGAGATAGAGAGAGACGTCCTTGCAGTTGTTTTCACATTTTCTTCTCTCTCCTTTCTTTGAGGGTAATACGGTCATTAATGAAGAACATGGTCATGGTAGTGAATAAAGAAAGTCGCTTTCGTTGCCAATCGTTTTGGGTCTGCCTCTCTCTCTCTCTCCGTTTCAGATCCATATCTTATCAATAAATCATAAATGGGTAGTTTTGTAAAGGCATCTCTTAATTTCGTGTCAACTAGCTTACATTTTTTATAATGAATGTACTTCTTATCTCCTATATATTAAAAAAGAAAAGCATTTTTAAATAAAAATCTTATTTTTATAAATATTTACAATGGTGTTATTATACTGATTGTATCAATCCCATATTCATTATCAGTTAATTTCTTACAAAAAAATTTAAATTACTAGACTAATTACATAATATGTCATTGTATATTTTAGATCTATAAATATGTTATATTATATTTTTTAAAACAAATTCAAATACAATAATATTATAATTAATAATTTAATAAAATAAAATTTGTTTAATGCTATATACACAAAATTTATTAAATAATATTTTTAAAATATTATCTATATATATTTTTTAATGTTTACTATTTTTAGCATTTATAGCAAAATATATAATACTTTTAATGTTTACTGCTTTTAAAAAAAATATGTTTATTAAATATTCATAAAAATATTCTTATAAAAATAACTGAAAAATTAAAAATAATATTTTATATTCCTCAAATTCATAACAAAATATATAACACTTTACTATACTTTAGTTAGCAAATATGTTTATTAATTGTTTATTAAAAATATTCTTATAAATACAACAGATAATTAAAAATAATATTTTATTTTTCTCAAAAATCAATCAGAACAAATAAAAGAAAGCCATAATGATTTTATTCATATATTGTTGTAATTATAGCATGCATGAAAATAATTATAAAAATATATATAATACTTCAAGCTAAATATTTTTAAGTTTATATTTTTTAACAATTCATAATAATATATGCAAAAATATATTATTAAAGATATATGTTATTGTCATGAGAAACATCAATTAAAAGAAAAAAAGTCACAATGACGAATTTCTAAAATTAATATGATATATATTATTAATATTCATATTTATTATATAAGGAAATATGATATATTGCATTAAGGTTTAAAAATATATATGATTCTTAGATAACAAATACGGTATATAGCATTATTGCTTACTTTTTTTTTGTAAGATAATATCAATATTAATTATTTATTTTTTAATTAATGTTTGATTTATCATATACAATATCAATTTTTCAGCAAGATTTGTTCATGTTTTTTTTTCTTAGTTTATCGGCTTTAAATCAATCAATTTAATTACTGTAAATTTTTTATAAATTGATAATATTGTGATTTCAATATTTTATGAATTTATAGAATTAGAAATATATCGGTTTGGGAATTAAATTAATTATTTATTAATAATTAATTAAAAATATATTTATTTTTAAAGTTAATAATATCTTTAAATATTTCATTTTTAAATTGTAGATAAGCCATAAAATTAAAAACAAACAATTATATATTTATATTTTAGTAAATTATCATAGTTATATATTTATATAAAATTATTTTTTGGTAATTATTAATTTATGATACTAATGAAACCATATATTTATATAAATTTTTCTAAAAAAATATTATCTTATCGATTTGTAACATATTTTGAACAAGTCCAATTTGGGACTAGAAAAATTATTAATTTATTTAACTAATAATATATAATAGATAAGTAACAAACTATTTAACTAATAATATTTAATTATTTAAGAGTCAAAAGTAATTAAATATGTACATAAATATTTATACCCAAATTTGGATATTGGTGAAAATAATGAATTATATCATCAATTACGGGATATAGAAAATTTGTATGGTAACTTCGTATTTTTACCCAGCTATATCATGTGTTATGCATGCTATTTAATTTTTAAATTAATTTACATTACAATTAAATTATTTTATATTTCATAAAAAAACTATATTGCAAATGTTATAGTTTAATATTATATAAATTTTATAAAATTTTAATTATATTTTATTATAAAATTTTAAAATTATATTAAATTTAAAAAAATAATAATTATTTCACCCCGCACATGATGCAGATTATTACCTAGTATACTGATAAACTAGCTACAATATACGTAAATTCCATTGCTAAAACTAAAATCAGAGTTTTCAAAAGTTTGCTTATGATGTATAACTATTTTAGCTATACAGTGAATATGGAGGTTAAATGGACTTGTAAGCAGGTTATGCCCATTAAAATCTATCATTAGACGAATATGTACATATATTTTATTGCTTATAAAAAGGTAGGATTTGCAATTCAGTATATTGTGGTTTTCAATTGTGTAGATCCTCTTTCTATGTAGCACAATTTCGAAAAGATTTTTTTTTGGTCAAAATTCTAAAATTTAAACTAACTTTTAGTAAAACCAGCCTAACTTAGTAAAATTATATCTTTTATTTTACCTAGAGGCTTCTCCTGCCTACAATCCTAAGATTTTATGAAATTTTTACTTTTTATTTCAAATTTGATATCTATTTAATTTTTCATTTCCAACTATAATACTAAATTTTATATTAAAATTGTTATATTATTATATAATTATTATTATTTTTATAATTATTATCATTTTAAGAAATATTTATATTTTTTTAAACTAATTAATAATAAATTAAATTTTAAATTACATCTCACCAATTAAAAAGATATTAAAAATTAATGTGATTTAAAAGAAATAATTTTTTGGATATTAGGGGTGTATTGAAACAAAAATTATAGAGAATTTGAAAAAATTTGAGTTTTAATGAAAATTTAGATGATATTATGTGGATTAAGAAAATTGATATGATCTCCTTTATATAAAGGGATAGATTTCCTGCTCTGTGAGGGGTGCCACATCATGCAAAAATAATCACAAAAATAATCAGCCAATAAGAATATAATAAATTGCCATATCGTTAAATTATAAAAAAAAACTAACCAATAAAAATAAGACAATATACCACTCATCTCCTTTATATAAAAGAAATAAAGATTGTCATTTCAGCAAAAATAATCAGCTAATGATAGACTCCAACACTGTTATGCTATTTTCTTCAACTAATAATTTAAAGTCATTTCATAAAATAATTTATTAGTCAAAACTTTCTCAAATTTTGCCTAAAAAAACTTGCATAATTCTTTTCAAGGCTTCTAATGGCTACCACATCAGCAAAAATAATCAGCCAATGATAGACTCTAAAACTGCTATACTTCTCAATTTTCAATCTTCTCGCCTCCAATTCACCAGAAACGGAATCAGCCATTACTAAACACAAACTTTACTCTTTAATTACTGGCAATAAACAATAAAGCTTAAATAAGTGGACCAAAAACGTCAAGAAATCCAAAAGACATAGCAATGAGGATGTCAAAAAAAAACATAGCAATGAGACACATAAGGTTATAAATAATACACAGCTCTATCACAAATGAAGTTTAATGTGTCTCATGCTATTGATAAAAGCAACATAAAAATACATTCTCACAACCGTTTTGCATTTATATGTATAATATAAGTCGAGCAAGAATGAGTCTTAGTCATAGTATTGTTGGAGCTGGAGAACGTCTTTCTTGTCAAAAGTAAAACTTGAGGAGTGACTCGGTTTTCTTTCTTCTAAAGAAAAGTAATTTAAACAATTGTAACTTTTTGATCTTATAGAAGATCTCAAGTTTCTAAAGCTGATATAGAATTTCATGTGGTTTGTTGTAATCAGACATTGTGGAGAAATAAAAGATAAAAGTCTAACTAAAGAACCAGTGATTGAAGACAGTTACTCACAATTTCTTAATTCTCATTTGCAAAATTTCATGAAACATAAAACTGAAATTTTTTTTTTCAAATAACATATAACATATAACTATAAACTTCCACACTTTTCACCTATATTGGCAAATGATCGAGCTACCTAACTATCAAACTAATATTATATCAATTAATAAAGAACTCAAATAATAAAGAAGTTTATTATTATTCGTCATTTGTATTCTTTGTTGAATATATGAACTAAATATAAAACATCTATGTACACACTGAATCTTTAAAAATTGATAAGTAGAGAAATGCATACTATATAGAAATTAAAAATAAAATCCTAAGGTACATGATGAAACAAAAATGGAGTAAGGATTGAGTTTTTCTTTTTAAATGCATCAAGTGAAAGGGAAGATTATGCAAAAAGTTTTTAAAAGTGTAAAAAATACTCATGATGTTCACTAAAGAAATGACATCTATACTAAATGAAAGTAATACTTTGGGGCTCCTAGCCACTTCAGCATTTTTAAAACTTCTCACACGATGCCACCTCAGCGTAATATCAACAATTGCTAACCAAATATTCGATTTTCTTATTAGAAAGGGTAGCTCTACTTAATAAGATTTCGGGTATATTCCCAATAAATGCTCCTAATTACGACAGTACTGCAAATCTAATTTTCACACAGGAAGTTTCTATATACACCATAAAAACACCTTATATTATGCAATTACAATTATTATAATTGCAACTAGGTGTCTTGCCCGCGCCATGCGCGGACCGAAGTGCATAATAAATAATTGTTTTGAATAATATTATACATATTTAATTAATAAAATATAATTTTTCAGTACATCCAAAAATATTAATACATACGTCTAAATATCAAACATACTTACATTAATATGAAATACATGTAACTGCAGAGTCAGTGCTGATTCTTATAATTTGATTTGACGGAGTTAAATAATTTTGTGACTTCTCCTAATCAGAAAGATTAATGGGTTCAATGATGGTTCCGTATAAATTACTTCAAGCCAAGGGATTTCCACACTCAATTATTAACAAATTTTGGGGTATATCTATCTCAACCTCCATAGTATTGAACTCATTGATCTTTCTGTCATATATATCTGTCTCGCATATCTATATACAAATTTAATATTTATGTTTATTATGTTCTTTCTAACTTAAACAACAATAAACTAAAAAAAGAACAGCAGAAAATACAATACTTTAATAATTGATAATTAGTTTCTTAAAAATAGTTAGCTTTTCAGCCTCTCTCATGCTCATCACAAAGCGATTTTATACTATTCTTATATTATCTGCCTCTTACAAATTAAAATCAAGCATAAAG